CTGAAGATCGACGATATCGTGAGTTTTTCATCTTCATTTTCATAGACATGTCTTCAAATGTATTTATTTATCACATTTTTTTATACGCAGGCAACACATCTCTGGGTTCGTAATTTCATTGTCACACTAAATAAACCCTCACAAGATGCTTGACCCTCTGGTTTCCTTTCTTTTTGTCATTTACTTTGGCAATCGTCTAAGTTCGGCTATCGTTTGATCTCGGCATGTTCTGGATGCTTAATTGTTGTGGCTTGTTTAGCTGTACACCGGGATTGGTGTGTCCTTTATTCGACTATCTTTTCGGCAGTATCGTCTCCTTCAGAGTCAAAAATTGTCGAATGCATAAGTAAACTATACTTCCAAAAGCCTCCTCAAGACTTAGGAAGGCGCCCAATGCGTTAGTGAACCGAAAACTCGAAATTGAATGCGGGATTTTATAATACTTACCCAAGTAAATGCTGAGTAAATGGCGCTACAGACCACTGTGTAGATGAGTAAAATTTCGAAAGGCCTAATTGAAGCCTCTTTTGTGGGAAAAATTTCTGACTATTAACTTGGGATTAACTTTTTGTTATTTTTCCTTGTCATTTCAATGACTTTGAGACCTCTCATGTTTGCTGAAAAGAATGGATTACGTGTCCCGTTTTTTCTTTATTTTTTGATGACGAGTTCTGCACTTTTGAAAAATTTATGCCATTTCGCACACATTTCATCTTTGTAAGATCTCAACAATACTTTGTTTGTGTCTATCAGACTTAGTTCAGTGAAGCATATCCAAATTTGTCATGCTACCTTCATTAGTATAAAATGTACGAAAGCTGCAAAATCTGATGATATGGCTTATTGATTCCGGAGTGAGTCATTCATCATGATAGCGTATTTATATTAGTTCAAAAATGACTGCCGGGGTTATTCAAGTGCACACTCGACTTTTTGGCTTAGGCTTCTTTTTGCTTAAGTAAATCCTTGAGTTCAGTCATCGTTGTTGGCAATAGGGCATTCGTTGTAGTAGGTCTTAATGTTGCTAGAGCCAAATCAGTCAAATCCAAGTAGGAAAAATGAAAACCATATTTGATCATCGTACTCAGAATCAAAAACTGCTTTGGAAAACT